TCACGGCAGAGAGCCGTGACAGGATCGAGAGGTGAGCGAACCCGGTATGTGTTCGCTCACCTCCCGATCTACTGAGCCGACCTGTCAGTCTCATTGTCACAGGTCGTCTAGAACTATGAGGTGAGTGAAAAGCACTCACCTCATAGTTCTCCTTTAAGTGGCAGGAGGCATGCAGGAAAGGTTTATTAACAGTAGCATGGGAATGCAATGGAAACACTAACAGCAGAGGTTAGACTGTCCGAATGTTTTGCTCATCTGACTACCTTCTGATAGTTATATGCGGTTATTTTGGGGTAATTGAACATAAATGTAAGGTTATTGTTTTTTTTTTAATCAGTGACAGTTGCAGTAAAGGTATAGACATGAAAGGTATTGGCAGCTTACCTGTCCACTGTAGTAGGTCACGCCTCTTTCTCCTGGTTCTGGACTATGTAGTCTGAAGCAACCGTAGGAGTGTGTTGGGTTGGCTAATCCTTCAATCAAAATTGACAGATATTGGTTCGCATTTTGCACAGCAGATCGCGTTCACCTGTCATGCTGGTTTCTGGTCAACTTGATCTGTGCGCCGCAATACTGTTGCTGCCTTTCACACACCTACCCTCCCTAATGTCAGCTTGTTTTATTAAATCAGATCTGCCTTTTTTATGCCGAGCTTTACATACTACACACTCATATCAGTCCCTGTACTCAAGCAGCTTACAATATAAGGTCCCTTTCTCATACATGTAGTAGGGCCAATTTACACAGGAGCCTATTAACCTTCCAGCATGTCTGGAGTGTGGGAGAAAACAGGAGTACTCAAATGAAACCTACGCATGGAACATGCAAACTCCATGCAGATCGTGTCCTTTAGTACCCTAAAGACATATGCATTTTTCATGATTATGTATTGTGATGTGAAATTGTTTAGGGTTAAAACATATACAGTATAGAATAGTGTTTCACATCTCTATAGAAGAGGCACTTCCTGTATCTCTGAAAAGGAAAGACAAAACTATTCCTGTGTTTTTACACGTTTTAAGGTCATTTAATGTTTGTTAGCCTGATCATTAAAGGAGAACTATGAGGTGAGTGCTTTTCACTCACCTCATAGTTCTAGCCGACCTGTGACAATGAGACTGTCACAGGTAGGCTCAGTGGATCGGGAGGTGAGCGAACACATACAGGAACACATACCGGGTTTCGCTCACCTCTCGATCCTGTCACGGCTCTCTGCCATGACAGAGGATGGCTGGATTCCCCTCTCCCCGCTCCGATCCTCTAGCGCTGACTGGCGGAACGGACGGGGGAGGGGGCGGGTACAGCTGGCTCTGCCTCTAGATAAGCAGAGCCAGCTGTCACTCACGCAGCTGGGCGGATCCCGGCACAATTGTCGGGATCAGCTTCAGCTGCGGCGTCTCAGTATACCGCGAGCTGTAGCTCACGGTATACTGAGCCTAGGGTGACGGGAGGACGCTAGTTTGTGTCCTCCCGTTACCCTAAGGAGAACTATGGGGAAAAGCCTTAACCCCATAGTTCTCCTTTAACACTTCCTGTAGGTATTAGCATTGTAATAGAAATTTAAAGTCATACTCAATATTTTAAAATCTGCAGCAACCATAAAGTACCTGGTGATCCTGCTTTCGGGCCCTGTCGCACCATATCCAGTGCGGTCTGCTGCATTTAGAGTCCGGAACGTGCTGGATTGCACATATCAAGCTGGGTCGTGGAACTCCAGGAATGATTTTATGGAAACGTGTCGGTATCCATATCTGATATATATCAGGCTGATGGGGAGGCTGAAAATCACTGTAGTGGTCCGTGCTACATGCAGGGATGGCTGTGATCTGCTGGGTGTGTTGTAGCACGAAGGTTCCCCTCTGTTCACTGAGCACTAGCTGGCCACCTCTGCCATTCAGAGAACGACTTCTATTTGTTCAAATAATACAAGGCGTTCTCTGATTGGACAAGGTAGATAAGATATCAACCGCTCCTCCCCTCCTCCACTTCCAAGTCTTTTGTAATAGCACCAAAAGTATTAGAATGTGCTACAACACGCTAGCATGGTTCCGTATTTACATTTTCTACTTTTAAAATGATGCACTTAGCATTAAACTGCGTTGTTTTGAAAAACACGTGTGATCTGCAGGCAAATGAAGCTTTCCCTAATATATTTCCACCACTTTATCCAACCACTGCCTATATAAACGCATGTGACTATTATGAAGCGGGGTCTTTGCAATTATACTCATGGCTGCAATATTCTGTGTCCTCAGGTATCAGCAGTGAAACCATTCTGAAACCTTCATCCATCTCCGAGGAAGAGCTTTTGGATCTGATCGGCAAGCTTAACGATGACAACAAAGTGGATGGTCTGCTAGTGCAGCTCCCTCTCCCAGGTGTGTTTATTTAAAGCATCCCATGCTTGTACTCTCGGCCACCATTTAAGTGTTAATGGTTATTGAGGGGTTTTGGATTCTTATCGAGACCATGTCATGGCTTGTATAGAGCTGTAATTATGATGTTCATGGGCTTACTCCATATAAGGTTTGCCATCACTAAATTAGTTTTACGTATACAGTTGGCTGTAACACACTTGGATGGGTTCTGGTTTTATAAACTGGCCAATCCGCAGCTGCATAAAAACTGCATATTCAGTTATTGTTCCAGAGCCAATTGTGCATCTAATGTTCTTTTAATACAAAATGAGTGACTTATTCCGTAATATAAGGCAATGAGACGTGTGCTAAATTCTGCAACCAACCAAAAGTCATTGCTCAATAGACTGGCTACACACACAAAAATTTTACAGCACACATTTACTTAGTTCAGATAAACACTAATGTTTAGTCAGGTGAAGGATTATTTGCTAGGAGACAATTAAGCCACATCATTTACCGACACTATTGCAGGTCTGTATCCTCCCTACTGTTGTAAATTACAATCTTATGCAATATATGTACATTGCTGGACTGAGTCACAAAAGAAAGAGAGGAAGTGGGGCTTTTTCGGTACCAAGTGACAAAAAACAAAATTACCACATGATAAAACAAGAGTACTTTATTATACAAAGTTTAAAAACATAGTTGATATGTGCACATTACAAAACAGAAAAAGAAAAACCAGAATGATCTCCAAATAACCATTCCAGAGTTACAGTATAATGTGAGGCTAGATGGCCATGTCAAATTAATAAAGACATTATAATAAAATAATTAGTATAACATGCTCTCGTATACTGCAAAGGGTTAATAAACACAAGCGCCAGCACCAGTATCTGTGTAGATAATGTACTGCACTCTCGAGGCAGCTCCCGCTGGTTTAGGGCAACCACAAAACTGGAATAAAAAACAAAGAGCGCCTCCATCGCGTAAAACTGTTTTAATTTAACACTATAAAAGTTAAAATCGTACTCGCAAACAGATGGTGATATGCAAGCATATAATGGGAATCAGCAAACGAATATTGAGATTGTGTGTGTCCGACTCAGCCGAGTTCACTTTCCCAAGTAATTTGTGAAAATGGAATTACCTGCCCAAATGCAGCCCCCTTTCCCCCTCCTTGCTGTAAATTTTGGCAAACGGTACTTCACCTCCGCCGCTACGTGTGCACTAGCTGTACCTCATACTGTTCTCTTGCCCCCACCCCACCCCCAGGGCAGCCCTGGATGCACCCATAACGGTGGAGGGGAAGGACTGTTCCGCCGAAAGGCAAGTATATGGGGGGGGGGGTTGAGCAGGGAATTCCAGTTTCCCAAATTGGGAAAGTGAACTTACCCTTTAATCCTAACAGATGAATGGCAGTTTATAATAAATCAGGAGCAGTATTAGCATTCAGGGAAGAGTGTTGCTCTCTGTACTTAAACTAGATGTACTTATTAATTTGATTCTGTTTTGGGGTGGCTGGGCTTGCTTTGCTTGGTATGTTTTAACCAAAGTTGTTTGCTCAATCTTGATAGAGCACATCGATGAACGAGTAGTTTGCAATGCGGTGACCCCTGACAAAGATGTGGATGGATTTCATGTGGTCAATGTTGGACGGATGTGTTTAGACCAGTATTCCATGTTACCTGCCACGCCCTGGGGGGTCTGGGAGATCATCAAGAGAACAGGTAAGGATCTCATAATGACTCTTTGAAACCTAAACCCATAGAAGTTGTATCTCGGGTACATTAGGTTCAGTCTGCACGTCTTAGACACCTCACTGTTATTTACAGCCTCAACTCATAACACACATCTGCCTGTACATGTAGGTCTAGCAAAGCTTTTGAACGTTATGGATTGCCTGATGTCTAAACATGTTCCTCCTCTTCCCACTTACAGGTATTCCCACCCTTGGTAAAAATGTAGTGGTAGCTGGAAGATCCAAAAATGTGGGGATGCCAATTGCAATGCTGCTTCACACTGATGGCAGACATGAACGTCCAGGAGGTAAGCATTAATCGCATTTGATTTGCTATTATATAGGTTGTGGTAAAGCAGTATTTCATACTGCTAGTGGAATGCATTCAAAGTACAGCTGGTGCACTGCATTGGGCATTAAAGACCAAACTGGGCAATGTGTACAGGGGTGAACCATTCTCCACAATTGCTGCTAGTGTCTGTCACTGTGGAAAAGTATGGATTAAATTTTGGAACAGACGTGTACTGGTGCACAGGATTTGGGTACAGGTTCCTTTGGAGGGCAGCATGACGGCCATCTGCCTGAATACATGATAGGGCATATATACTGCTTTACCGAGGAACCAGGAGAAAAGTACAGCTATCACATAAGTGGGTGGCACTTGGCTCTGTTCTACGGGTGCCTGTAGCATCCAGTTGATGGCTAATGCATGAGATGTTTCTGAGATTATTCAGAATTTGACCTGCACTTTCTAAACTGCATTTGACATGCTTTCAGCAGGTTTTGCATTTCAGTAGACTTGTAAGCGAATGCGAAACCCATCTGACATGCACAGAAGTCCATAAACAAAAGCATGTCAACCTAAGCCCTAAGGTTTCTTTCACACGTCTGTTGAGAATTAAATGAAAGAGTATTGCTGGTTATGCCTATAGTGGGAAGGCATTTTCAAGACATTAGGGGGGCGTCAGACCCTTGCAAAATACCTTGCAAGTAGGGGAGTGTTAAATGGTGAAATGATGTAGCAATGGGAAGTGACCAGCAGTGGCCACACTTGAAAAAACAAAATAGGAGTCGCAGTAGCTGGACAGACTTGGGTCAGACAATTCTGGGTATTGCGCAACTGCTTGAACTAGCTTTGCAACATTTATTTCAGACATGACTGGTTCTGGCTGGCACTGCTTTGGGTGACACTGATACTACAGGGCGGCATAGGTCAGACTGTCACAGGTTGCAAGTACCTAACTAGAAGCTGGTTCCTTGCTGGAAAAACACTGGCTGTGTGCAGACAGGAAGTGGCATCTGCACCTGCTCTGTTCACTCACTCTATGCAGAACCTCCTATGCCCCTCCTAAAACACCTGTGCAACGCTTCTTAAATGCCCTAAAAATGCTATAGGAGCACCGACCTGGGATTTGAGGGGTGTTTCAATATACTTCAATGGAGGCATTTTTCCAGCGGCAGTGCCTCCAGAACGTCACATGCACTCTATTTTTTTGACACAGCAACCATGTGTGAACAGCACTGTGCGGTTGCTATTGTTTTATCCCACATGGGTGTTAAAAGGCGGCAGAGAGGCTTTAAATACGCTTCTCTAATGCCTGGTTTTAACATGCGTGTGAAAGAGGCCTAAGTCTTACATTGGGGTATGATGATGAAAGCTTAAAGGAGAACTATGGGATTTATGCTTTTCCCCATAGTTCTCCTTAGGGTAACAGGAGGACACAAACTAGCGTCCTCCCGTCACCCTACGCTCAGTATACCGCGATCAACAGCTTGCGGTATACTGAGACGCCACAGTATACCGCAAGCTATTGCTCGCGGTATACTGAGACGCCGCAGCTGAAGCGGATCTGACAATTGTCTGTATACCCCCAGCTGCGTGAGTGACAGCTGGCTCTGCCTATCTAGAGGCAGAGCCAGCTGTACCCGCCCCGTCTGATCCGCCAGTCAGCGCTAGAGGATCGGAGTGGGGAAGGGGGAATCCAGTCCCTCCCCTGTCACGGCAGAAAGCTGTGCAGGATCGAGAGGTGAGCGAACGCCGGTATGTGTTCGCTCACCTCCTAATCTACTGAGCCGACCTGTCAGTCTCATTGTCACAGGTCGGCTAGAACTATGAGGTGAGTGAAAAGCACTCGCCTCATAGTTCTCCTTTTAATGCTGCATTACCGTTAAGAACTTAGCACTTTAGACTAATTTACTGTATTATGTTTTTCAGGTGATGCTACAGTTACAATCTCCCATAGATACACACCTAAGGAACAGCTGAAGATGCACACAAAACTTGCTGACATTGTTGTGGCAGCTGCAGGTATGTTCTAAATTCATTATGAATACCAAAGCTAAGCTGAAATGATCAGATATCGAATTGCCAGCTGTAGCGGATCCCGACAATTGTGCCGGGATCCGCCCAGCTGCGAGACTGACGGCTGGCTCTGCCTATCTAGATGCAGAGCCAGCTGTCCCCGCCCCGTCCGTTCCGCCAGTCAGCGCTGGCGGATGGAGCGGGGAGGGGGGGAATCCAGCCCCTCCCCTGTCATGGCAGAGAGCCGTGACAGGATCGAGAGGTGAGCGAACGCCGGTATGTGTTCGCTCACTTCCCGATCTACTGAGCCGACCTGTGACAGTCTCATTGTCACAGGTCGGCTAGAACTATGAGGTGAGTGAAAAGCACTCACCTCATAGTTCTCCTTTAAAGTGCTTGTTTTTGTCTAGGGAAGAGAATGGGTTATACTTGCCCAATCCATGGAGCTGGCTGGCTGTCGCAAGGCTTCCTCCAACCTTGTTTCCCGTGCTGCAAGGATGGAATGTCCCTTGGCGTCCTTGCATCCTATGCACTATGTATAAAATGTGGTGGTTTCCAGGACCCTGGACTACTGCTGCAGAGGGGACTAGAGTGCCAAGGGACTTGTCTATAAGCCAGATGGCTCTGAGGGTCAGGCGAGTATAACTTTATTGTTCTCCCTAGACAAAAACAAGCACTTAATTCTTGCAGTAGCCCCACAGCAACGGTTCATTTTCCCCAGAGTTCTGCTTTTAAAGATTGTATTTTATATATAGAATTGTGAATTCTCCCTCTAGTGATGATCTGTATGACAGACTGTGCTCCGCATCCCTGATAAAAGCCTGCTGAAAAAGAAATCCTCGTTGAACTCATTCTTAGATGTGGCCAGTGATAGACTTGCATGGTGGGTGGAACAGTAAACTGCACTCAATCACTTTTTCTTGTTTCCACACACAGGAATTCCCAACCTCATCACTGCTGACATGATCAAAGAAGGTGCTGCTGTCATTGATGTCGGAATTAACCGTGTTCATGATCCAATCACTGGCAAGGCCAAACTTGTGGGGGATGTGGACTTTGAAGGTTAGTGACTTTCACCGTTGAAGCTGAACTTAAAATCATCTAAATATATTCCGCAAGAACCACAAAGGTTATAAATCTGCTTTGTATGCATCAAATGCCTTTGCAAAACCCAATTATTACCTTGTAAAAGTAGCAGTGATGACATTTTGCTGCACAAAGCCTGTGCAGAGCAGTGCAAAGTACCCAGCAGGTCCACCCACTAGTGGAAGAGGGCAGAGACAAGACCAGTCACCCCTCAAGAATAGAGCAGCAGGGGCTGGTCTTTATTATCAGACGCTCCTGGACAGAGAAAGTTTCAGGCCAATTTACTGCACAGATCTGGAAGAAATGACAAAGGTTACCAAGATTTATCTAATCCAGACCAGGGGTGCCCACAATTCCTCCAATGGAATAGGGCACCTCCTGCAACAAAACACAGGGTAGGTGTGATTGCGACGAACGCACTGTACTATTTTAAATGGGCCCTTAGTTAGACCTAGCACTATTATCAGAGGAGTCAAACTATGGGACTATTACCTGTAATGGTAGAATAAAACCTAACAGGTCTAATCTCAGTCTGTAAGTGGGGGCACACTCCTGTTAGGTGGGGGCACACTCCTGTTAGGTGGGGGCACACTCCTTTTAGGTGGGGGCACGGTCCTGTTAGGTGGGGGCACGGTCCTGTTAGGTGGGGGCACGGTCCTGTTAGGTGGGGGCACGGTCCTGTTAGGTGGGTAGAGATCACACCTGCTGCAGTACACATTGCCCCCTCCCTCTGATAAAGACCACCACTCACCCTGCCCAGGCCTGTGTAGGATTTGTGTCCCCCAAGGGATCGGCTCTGATTCCCCCAGAGTAGCTGCATGCTGAGCCACGGCTTCAAGTGTTAGCGGCTGTGCCAGGACACAGCGCCACCTGCTGGCCAATACAGCAAACTGCACCCGGCTACCAGCAGCTGAGCTCCCAGATAAACTGAGCAGCTAATTCCAACTTGCGATGGCGATCGACTGGTAGATTGCGATCGACCTTTGGGGCACTGACCTGTGCTCCGTTATTTGCCGGCCTTCAAGGCCAATACATCTACTGCCAGCCATAGCCCAGTGCAGGTAGGCGATTGGGCTGTGTCTGGACCCCACAGTTCTCTTCGGTCCTCGGTTGCTAGATCTGCTGGCATCCACCGGGTGGTTCTAGCAACCAGTGATGTCAGGGGTCATCCTCCTCTATAGACACACCTACCTGGAAGGTGCATTGTGCTGTACTGTGCGTTAATTGCACACTACTGTGCAATTCTGCATAGGTGTGAACGGGTACTCCCCCCACAACAGTCCCAGTTTCTTATGTGGCCCCTTGAGGAAATGAATTGCTCACGCCTGCCTTTGTGGGAAGTCAAATTGCTGAATGCATGTATCCTCATTCTGTGCTCTCCACTTGACATCCATGATTCTTTAGGCATGCTGGCTTTGGCTTTAGTTTTATAGTTAGCAGGAGCTTTGGCCCCCTTCCCTTCTCCAGAGGGTATAATGTCTTGCTGTTTATATACCTTGGTCATTTTTCCATTAAGAGCTGCCACCTACATTGGAAATCAAGGTTTTAAACTATTTGCCATAATGATTGTTGTCACCGTTTAATACTATCCTAATCTACTGCGACAATGGAGAGGATCAAGTTGCCATTGGGAAGCCTAGTTCAGACACTAAGAATATCTGAAAACTGAGCCAGAAAAAAATAGGGTACTTACCCACAGAGGCCAGTTAAGGTTTCCTCTTGTGTTCTGTCTGGTTGCAGTGTTCAACAGCTGCACATTTTACAGACTAGCCCTAAGGGATTTGGCTGCCAGGGACGCAGGGTTTATTTTCCCAAGTCACTCCCTAGAATGAATTTTTAAACCAAGGGAAGAAAGAAAAAATGTGCATTAAAATATTCAGAGAAACCTATAAATGGAATAGTCTGATCTTTCTGAGAAGTCGAATGGTGGGAAACATGGATTTCTGTTTTTGTTCCAGGAGTAAGAAAGAAGGCGAGCTACATTACACCAGTCCCTGGAGGAGTTGGTCCCATGACAGTTGCAATGCTGATGAAGAACACGATTATTGCTGCAAAGAAACTGCTGAAACCCCAAGAACATCAAGTCCTACAGAATCTACAGGCAGTCTCCATCTAATGCCACCTCTGTCAATGAACTCTCTACATTCCAAGCCCGCTCCCGTGAACAGGCCGACATTAAAATGCAATATTTGTATTTATTTTAGTGAAGCCGTAGGCTTCTCAGAGGGAGTTATTTATTCAGAGCAAACCTATTGCTCCTTCCATGCAGACCGGGGGGAGAAGCGGCTGCTGTGGTCCCAAATTCTTTGCATGAAATGCAGACCTTTTACATGTGCTGTTACAAGTGGCTGTTACTAGTTACTGTTACAGATGCATGCTAATACCAAAGGTAATATTACTCTGTTTTTGCATCCAGGATGTTAAAATGCAGGGATCGATTGTAGCCAGTGCTGGCAGCATATTGCTATATGTAGCCCACCACTGACCAGACTTGCTGTGGTTACAGTGGTCCATCAAGGACTTCTGCGATAGTGGTGCTTGCAAGTGATTGGACTTTTTTTTTTTTTTAATATATAAGAATTCATCTGTTACGACACCTCTATAGATTTAACTGCTTGCCTCAAAATGTAATCAGCCATTTTGGCCCTTTCATTGAACGAATGAGTAGTTGACTGTCTTGGTATCCATCGCCAAAATGGGGGGAATCAGATTTTTCAGTGCTTGAGATTAGCAAAGTTTTTAGTTTTGTTTTTTTAATTTATATTTTGTTTGCCCAGAGCATTTCAAAATGGGTTGAACAGCTTGCAGTCTAACATGCACTCTTGTTGCTAGCCGTTCTACTTGCTGGCACAGAAACATAATCCTTTTTTCCATTATGGATATAGATCAACAGGCTTCCCAGGGGGTTGATCAGTGATCTCAAGGGGAAATCTTTTGCCCCCTTCCCCTACGTGAAGAGGGCCTATGCTTATAAGAACTGCAAGTTGCCATTCCAGAATTTGTATGCATAAGCTGTTGGCAAATTTTTAATTTCGGGGAACTGTTGAAATGAAGTTCAGGTTTCAGGGAACCCCTGCAAATTATTTTTCTACGGCTTAAGAGACCTATGGGGGTAACCTTTTTTTTTTTTATCACATAGTTCTCTCTAGGGTCACGGAGGACATATTCTAACATCCTCCCGTGACCCAAAGCTCAGTATATAGAGGGGTATTGCTCGCTATATACTGAGAGCGCCGCAGCTGGGGCAGATCTCGACAATACTGTCGAGATCCACCCAGCTGGCTGATTGACAGCGGGCTCTGCTTATCTCAAGGTAGAGCTAGCTGTGCCCGTCCCCTCCCATCCGTTCCTCCAGTCAGCGCTGGAGGAGGGGAAGGGGGAATCCCTGTGGGAAGCGGTGACTTGACAGTCACCACTCTGCAGAGAGATGATCAGGAAGTCAGCGAGTGACAGTATGTGTTCGCTCACTTTCCGATCAATAGAGCCTATGTGTGACAGTTTCAATGTCACACGTCGGCTGTAACTGAGGATGAATGTAAATCACTCCTCATAGTTCTCCTTTATTGCTTTGCTGCCACGTGTACAGCTTTCACTAAGCTCTCCTCGCACTGTGACTGCTACTGGTCACTGTTTACAATCGGGAGCTGGTAGGACAGGCTTCAGATCATGTGACAAATGACAGCCAATCAGTGATCACATGATCAGGAGCCCACTCACAGCTCCAGGTGTAAAGGAACCCCTTAAATGGCCAATGGGAGCTGGCAGTAAGGGGTTAAGGTGGAATGTCAACACTACACTTACATGACATGAATTACATGACATGCACCCTAAATCAGATGTTCACAATATTTGTGAGGGTTTTGAATGTTACATGGGTGGCGCACTTTGCTCATCTCTGGCACTTTAATTGGATTTCTAAGACAGTAGACCTCACCAGCGGAGCTGGCATATGCAGAGTTGGAATGTAAGTGGCGTCCTGATTAACCACAGATGAATATCCAGCTACTCCCAATCACATATGTGGGCTGTAGGGTTTATTTTAAAAACTCATCCGCCCATACATATTTTTACAGGTTTTTATGATTTGTGTGTTATTGAATGGACAATGCTGAGCCAAATCAGCAGCTCATCCAGCAATGCCTTGGATTCGGATTGGGAATTTGATACGGATCTGTAGAATTTGTAATTTGTGATGCATAAGATGTGCCTGCTCTTAATATGAACTGCAGTATGTCATTGAGATGTAGGTGCCGCTGTGACATGAATTAAAATTCTTAATTCCCATTCCCTGACTTGTTTTATGACTCTATCATGACCTATTTTGCTTAATTGTTGCTGTGTGTTGAAGGGGTCCATTTATAGCATTTTGCATTTTACTCTTGTTCTCTGAAGAGAATAGAGGCAAGAACACGTTTTCTTAGTATGCTTTCTTTTCAGGTTGAATGTAATTGCTGCATTCTGGCCCTTAGATGGAGCGGGGGAGCATAGGAATGAAGTATTTATTACCTTTGCCCATCAGCTCCATCTAGTGGCAATAAATGCCGTATTATATTACATTAGACCTGAAAACTAAATGGTGTGTGCGTGTATACTGTATATGTGTATAATCTCTCTCACACAGGAATTTATCAATTTGGTCACCTCCTTTTAAACTACTTTGGCACTTCATAAGTAGTCATTCTGACAGCAGTATGCAGAGAAGGTTTGTCCTTTCATACCTTTCTTTATTTGTGTACCAGGGCAGCCAGGTAACTACCATTCTCATGATGAGGTCTGCAAAAGCAGCTTGCATATTTTACCCAGCACTGGATTGCTTAAGCAAATTACATATTCGTATAACTCACTCTAGTAGGGGTGAAGGTAGCACTAAGCCTATTAGGGCTCTGCTTCTTACAGGAGAGAACATACGGTAGGTGTTTCTAATATGTCTATAGTCTGGGTAAGGCAGCATTGCTTTAATGCATTTTAGTCTCCATGGAGGTCAAGGACCCACCTGTGCAGTGAAGCTTGGGTTTGAATCATACAATTTTGATAGTAACAACCATTCATATAAATGTATTTAATTGGCAGGTAAGCCTGGACACATTTTCACTTTACGATTTCCAGGCCTGTGACATTCAGGTATTTAAAACAACCTTTCTAACAGAGAAGCCGTTGCAATACTCATCGGGTCCTGGCTAATTGCTATAGCTCATGGTACAATAGTGTTAACTAGGGATGCACTGATACTTTTCGAGTACCAATGCCGATACTTGCCATTTTCAACTACCAGGGTTGCAGTGGTTGCAGCTGGGACCTGGCTCTGGCGCTCCACCACTGTCCTGAAATCATTAGTCTGTATTGTTTTAGAAAAACTGTCACATGACAATAAACAAACATGTATCAGTACTTGTGTCTGTAAGTAGTTGGGCAAGTATCAGTACTCGCAAAACTGGTATCAGTGCACCCCTAATTTATGTTTATAAAAACAAAAACCTACATTAAAACAGAGTTGCACCAATCCCAGGAGCTCCGTGTGCTCCTTACAAATGACAGCCGCCTCCTAATTTTTGAGTTTTTCTCTAGTCTAGTCTTGGAGCTGGAAAAGTATCTGTACTTGTACCGAGTACGGTACTTGGTATCGGTGCATCCCTAGTGTTAACGGTAAGTTGTAGATGAGCTAAAAATAGGAAAAGTGGCATATTTGGTGCATATGACACCCATACAACAAAATTATTTTCTGTAATTACAATTAAGAAATGACCGGAAAATAAATTCAATGATAGTTGTATTCATTTGGAGAGTGAGTCAGTGGTCAAAGAAAAAGTACCCTCACTGGTTATCATTGAAGTGCCCCCCTCATTAGTGGTCCCTAAAATGCAGCTTTTCTTTGGTGGTCAATAAAGGACCCCCTGACCATGGTGGCCATTTAGTCTTTGAGAGAAGGGCTCCATTGCACTGGTGGTCAGTGGGAAGAATGCTGCTGACATTGGTGTAAAAGGAAATAATTCCCCTCTTCAGAAACTGCTAAAAAGCTAATTGGGATCACTTGGTACTTAGCTGACAATCTGTTTATTCCTCAGGGAACCCCTAGCAACCTCTGGAGGAATCTTAGGGTTCCACTGAACCCTGGTTAAAGTGACATCAAAGGCAAATGTTTTTTTTCCTCCCCCCAATGTAAATGTTAGCACTTACCTTAAATGATGTCTCTTTTTCCGATCTTCCTCTTCTTTCCCCATGTTTTCATCTGTCCCTCCAGCGGTGTGACGTCACTCCGATCCAGCGCTGACTGCTCTGTCTCCGATCCAGCGGTGTCTGCAGGCGGGTGCACGCGTCCATAGACTTACCTTACGTCTCTGCTCGTCTCCCGGCCGAGAATCAGAACTGCGCATGCCCCCGCCCCAAGATCCTTTGCAGCCGTACGAGCAGTTCCTGATTCTCGGCACGGGAGCGAGCGGCGATAACTAAGTAAGTTTAAAATGATTTTAAGCGGTTTTTTTTTTTACACTTCTTGCCTATATCTACTGCTTGCTAGCAGTAGATATAAGCAAAAAAAACCGGAGGGTTTAGAACCCCTTTTAAGGCTGATTTTACAGTGTGATTTACACCATTTAAAGCAGTGGTTCTCCACCTGTGTAACCTCAGGACCCACATTTGTCCCTGGTCATTAAGTTGCGACCCAAGTCATACTGCAGGAGAATGCACGGCATTGCATTATTGGACGTTTGGGTGCAGGCGATCGGACTGTGGGCGGCAGGTGCATTTGGGGTGTCATTCAAATTAATGGCAACGCAACACACCTTCCACACCAGAAACGGGTACGATTGTGTGGTATAGTGCATTAATCACATGAGACTGCAAAAAAACCGCACTGTATTAGTGTAAATGGACCCTCAAAAACACTGACAGACGCACACAACCACAGATATAATCTCATACAATTAGAATTGTGTTTTTTTTTCTTTTTAAGATCCACCCAGTCTCCCTACCTTATGAAAACTGGAGTGGATCCTCAGCTTGGGGGTCCAGTGTGGGCTGCTGTGCTGTTACAGAGCTCCATCCATATGTGCATAGATTGTACATCTCCCTTGTGTACCCTGTAGAGGTGCCAGGAGCCAGAATGTGATGTCAGTCCAGGCACCTCTATAGGGCATGTGAGGGAGCTGCAAACAATGCACATATGGATGGAGCTCCCTTATGGCCATACTTCCAGCCCACCACACCTTTAAGCTTACATGCAGGGCTGGGCAAGATATTTTGAATGGCTGATCGGCACGAGAATTGACGCTGCTGCGCTGGGGGGAGGCTGAGGAGTCTCTCACCTAGAAAAGTGGAAGGCATGTGGCGACCCACTTTTGGGTCACAACCCACCAGTTGAGAACCAAGGATTTAAAGGAACTAAATGGAAACCTGGGTAGATAAACAGAAGTTAAGACAAGTCATGTGCTTCCATGGCTGTGGTTGGCAGCATTGTTGCCCCCATCCTTGGCCTAGACACGCAAGAGGTTTTTATCTGAGATGATTGTCAACAAGTG